AAAAGCATTTTTCAGTACACACCGTGCACGCGTGTTTTCCAAAATCGGCGTAGGGTGTGTTATCTAACACACCAAGATGTGTTTTTGCAAATTAGTATGAGGTGTGTTCTCGAACACACCAAGGTGTGTTTTCATTGAAAAGGTGTGTTATTGAACACATCTTATATGCATCAAAGGTGTGTACGAAAAGGTGTGTAAAATACAGGTGTGTTTCTTAGCACACCTAGGTGTGTTTTGTTACACACCATGGTGTGTTTTCTAACACATCATGGTGTGTTTTCTAACACACCAAAGTGTGTTTTCTAAAATTGTATAGGAAGGTGTGTAAAATGTACACACCTTGGTGTGTAATTAAACACACCTTGGTGTGTAATTAAACACACCTTGGTGTGTAATTGAACACACCTGTTTTTAGAGTGTTTGAATGTATGGAAAATTCGGCTGTTTTGAATGTTTGGTAAATTCAAAGATAGTTTGAAACGCGTTTTAGAAACAGAACAGAGTTATAGAAACAGAACAGAGTTTAACATCGATAAGATTGTGCATATGACCAATCACTTACATGGGAGGATGTGTTGACATAATCTGTAGAGATAACCGACTCGCTTTTTCTTATCTGAACTTTAAAATACGTGATATTTTCCGCATTTTTCCAAGTAGCATCGTTCCAATTTAAAACCATAGTTACGTGACTGTTGTTTGACGTATCCCTTGAAAAACGTGCATCCATAGAGCCATTATGGACGAGCCTGGTTCCTTTATCTACTGTATAGTAAAAGTAAAGAAATATCGTTTAATTAGACGTTTATAAAGACATGCAATGTACAAACAGCTTTTCATGCATAGGAATTTAAAATAAGAAGCTATAAGAAATATGCTATTCCCGGCAGGAATTTTTTCACTGGAAATATTTTCTAGTACGGGCCGATCGTGATGGTAAATAACGTACAGGTACCTGTGCTGAGCATTAACATTGCAACTTGAATTACTTCGTTGAATTTAACAAAGAGTGTATGTTTGCCAGAGGTTATCGTTTGGTTGCCAGAGGTTATCGTATCTTTCGCCGCCTTATTCCCGCTCGTATTTATTTTACGCGAGGCGAGGAGAACCTCTGGTGGCACGCGATATAAATCTCACTTACATACTGAGTTGCCGTTTGGGAACTTGCAAACCAATTTTATTTTAGTTGCTAATGTGAGCAGGACACCCTTACAAAAAATCCACATGAATTCACACGTGTGATTTCATGTGAAATCATGTGATAACATGTGAAATTTAACATGTGAAAAAATTTCACATGAAATCACATGTGAAATTTCACAAATGAAAGGATTTCACATGAAATCACATGTGACATTTCACATGTGAAAAGATTTCACATGAAATCACATGTGACATTTCACATGTGAAAAGATTTCACATGAAATCACATGTGACATTTCACATGTGAAATGATTTCACATGAAATCACATGTGACATTTCACATGTGAAAGTATTTCACATGAAATTACATGTGACATTTCACATGTGAAAGAATTTCACATGAAATCGCATGTGGCATTTCACATGTGAAAAGATTTCACATGAAATCACAAGTGAAATTTCACATGTGAAAGAATTTCACATAAACGTTACAAACTGACAAAGTGAAATTTTACATGTACGTTAAAGGATTTCACATGAAATTACAAGTGAAATTTCACATGTGAAAAGATAAGGATTTTACATGAATTACAAATTACAAAGTGAAATTTCACATGTACGTGACAGGATTTCACATGAAATTACGACTGAAATTTCACATGTGAAAAGATGACGATTTCACATGAATTACAAATTACAAAGTGAAATTTCACATGTACGCGAAAGGATTTCACATTAAATTACAAGTGAAATTTCACATGTGAAAAGATAAGGATTTCACATGAATTACAAAGTGAAATTTCACATTCATGTATGTGACAGGATTTCACATGAACTATTACGACTGAAATTTCACATGTGAAAAGATGACAATTTCACATGAATTACAAATTACAAAGTGAAATTTCACATGTATGTACGTGAAAGGATTTCACATGAAATTTAGACTGAAATTTCACATGTGAAAGGATTTCTCATGAAATTACAAATTACATGTACAAGTGAAATTTCACATATGTGAAAAGATTTCACATGAAAAAATTACAAGTGAAATTTCACATGTGAAAAGATAAGGATTTCACATAACATTACAAATTACAAAGTGAAATTTCGCATGTACGTGAAAGGATTTCACATGAAATTACGACTGAAATTTCACATGTGAAAGGTTTCACATGAAATTAAAAATTACAATGAAATTTCACATGTGAAAGGTTTCACATGAAATTAAAAATTACAATGAAATTTCACATGTGAAAGGTTTCACATGAAATTAAAAATTACAATGAAATTTCACATGTGAAAGGTTTCACATGAAATTAAAAATTACAATGAAATTTCACATGTGAAAGGATTCACATGAAATTGAAAATAAGGTTGGGGGGATTTGAGGGGCAAACTCATATTTTTTTTTTGGGGGGGGGACAAGATAGAATTGTTAAATAGGTAGTGCTATTTGCCCATGCCGTTGTCATAGGACTTCCCCCCTCAAGGAGATTCGCCCCCCTCCCCAACCATAGGAATATCGACCCCCTTTAGGATATTCGCCCCCATATATGCGATGTGGTTTATTCAAATTTCGTGATACGTTCATCTTATTAGTGCCTTACATGTTTGAGAATTTAACTCAGCAAAACTAAAGCTTTTTTTCCTTTTTTGAAACGTATTATTGGAGTATTGGCAAGTTTTACCATTCAGAGACTTACAAAATAATATTGAAACTGTGAAAACAGTATTATACGCGCATTCACTAATGACTAATGAGTAATGAGAACTTATAAACCATACATTTTTTTTTGGGGGGGGGGCAAAATGTGGTAGTGGGCAAAATATAATTGGGGTATCCCCCTGTCCCCCCCCCCCCACGCCACTGAATACAAGTGAAATTTTACATGTGAATAGATTTCACATGAAATTACAAGTGAAATTTCACATGACAAATGATTTTATATAAAGTAAAAAATTGAAATTTCACATGTGAAAGATTTCACATGAAGTAAAAAGTGAAATTTCATATATGAAAGGAATTCACATAAAGTTACAAGCGAAATTTCATATGTGATTTAAAGGATTTCACATGGACGGTAAAAAGTGAAATTTCACATAAAATCGTGCACTGCAAAACATCAAATTCTAGTCTAGAATAATAGTCTTATTTTTTAGATTATTTTTTTTATCTTAAGTAAGGGACCGCTCATTATTTATTGTACAGGGGGGGACTGAGGAGAAACTCTACAGTTATAATATTTTTTCGTTGCCCCCCTCTTAAGACAAGTAAAATTTTCAAAGCCCCCCCCCCACCCCCAACAGGCAAAACAAGAACATAAATTCCCCCCCTCTAGCTCTTTATCTTTATTTAGAGAAACAAAAACTCTAGCTGTTTATTTTAGAGAAAGAAAAATAGGTAATGGGGACCAATAGACATTCCAATTATAGACTAATTTTTTATCTTAGCAAAAAAAGTATATTCCCGGGAAGGGCATACTAAAATTAGTAAAATTCCAAAGTTTGGTTGCAAAATGTTGTAAAATATGTAGAAAATATATAGCCTTCCAAAGTTTGCAAATTTTGTATTCTTTTGTATAATTTGCAATTTTCGCATGCAGCCTTGATTTGCATCTCTTTGCCTAGTTCTAAAATTAGTCTATAATGGGAATTGTCTATTTACATGAACACGAGAGACTTTTTATTTGACTTCCATTTATGAATATTAAAGTCTATAAATATTGTTATTTGTTGTTAAGTTGTTTTCTGATACATTTTTAAAACTACTGTTTTTCAAACTGGTAAATATTTTCAAAGCCCCCCTTCTTTCGTCTCGCTGTATTTTTTCAAAGCCCCCCCTTTTAGGTTTTGAAAAATTTAAAGGCCCCCCCAGTTTCTCCTCAATCCCCCCCTGTACAATAAATAATGAGCGGTCCCTTATTTTGCATTTTGTGAGCTTTGATTTAATGTAAAATTTAACTTAAAACGCTTCGTAAAATGTTTTGAAATGTTTATTCAACTTTTAGTACATTTGCCGACAAACTTTAATACAAATAAAACAAATTGTTAGGTAATTTCAGTTCAGTCTTCAAATCAATTTGTTCTCCTTTACATTTTAAGATTTTAGAAAAAGGAAAACAGTTCATGTTTTTAGGCAAAAAGTTAAAGCAACAAAATTCGTAAACATTAAATATTCAAAGCAAACTTGCCGTATATTTCACGATTTCCCGTAGTAAATCAATTCTTCTCATTTCTTCAAACAAAATTGCTTCAAGCTTGTTGTATATGAAACGATTTTCCAAATATATGTCGTTTAAAATTGAAATCTTGCTTATCTCACTCCTACATAAGCAATCAGCCATATTTTTGAGATCAGTGAGGATGACCACCCACTCAACACCGTTGGTGAGCCATGCCCGCGATCATTGATGAACTTTAAACTTCGCTAATGCTTTCGTTTCCCCGGGTGTAAATAGCCGGGGGACGAATTAGTACCCTCGCCCCGGGCTTACGCCCGGAACGGCGCTCTGCGCCGTTGGTTCGGGGAAAATGCATAAATACAAACGGAGGTAAAAGATTGATGTAAACTACCGATGAGTTTTTCAGGTATGCTTGGTATTTATAGACATCTCTGGCCAGCCCAAAATCACCAACTTTTGCGGTATATCCATATCCAAGAAGAATGTTTCGTGCAGCCAGGTCTCGATGAATAATCTGCAATCATAATTACAAGCTTGTCACGACAATAAATTAACTTCACCAAGATCAGAGCCGCCGAAGCATGCGTAATATACTCATTGCTCATGGATGTTAAGAGTTTAGGTCTGGGTTGTTATTAACAGCGTGAAAACGAACAATACGTTAGAATACTCCTCAAGGTTATTGGAAGATTTTATCAAAACAATAATCACCGCAGTAGCAATAGTAACCCTCTAGCTGTGAATTTCAATTTGACACGAACCACCCGTAAGTAAAAAAAGATACATCAATCCCAGGAAATGATTCATGTGCACAATCTACCGTTTCACTAGTAGATTGTGCACATGAAAATGTTTTCACCTTTCTTGAAATCAAGAACGTCATTCCTTTCGCAATTTGCCAAGCAAAGTTTATCAAATGCTTTTGTCCAATGACTTGAGAAAGATCTGTCATTAAAGGCTCTTCCTCCACGCTGTACAGATTCCGACTGCTTCGTAAGAATTCTCGTAGATTTTCATTTGGACAATATTCCAATATTATCCACAAGTTTGAACTTTTGCCTAAGCAAGATTGTTATTTCATAATGATATTTTTTTAAATGCACATACTGCGGACAGAATTATTGTTGAACTGCAAGAACAAGAATCTGTTGAACTGGATCTTTTAGCCAATCAGATATACAGTGGAAACTGTCCCCCATGAGGAAGCTTCAATTTCTCCCTCGATATTTCCAACAATAGACACTGTGAGGATCTTCTATAGCTATAGAGATTATAAAAGAATAGAGTAGTGTATTCTTTTATAATCGATCAGCTCTATATTATCTTCACAGTGTCATAGTTATTATGATTTGTTGCCTATAGTCAATGCATGTATTATAAAACCAACAGCATGCCGCAGTACTAGTGTAGCTTTTTTATCTTGAAAATATGATAGACGATAGAAACTCCCTTACCTTTAGTACAGGCAC